AACAACTGGCACTACAAAGTTTGTAGTTAAACTCTAGACCTAACCCAGGACTAGGGGCATCTGATGTATACAAATTTGTATTGAAAAGTCGTTCTCACGAGGGCACTTGAACATGTCCCTCAGAATTTGGCCGAAGGCCGATCCCAAGAACGATTCCTTCATACCTTAGGAATCGTAACCACTCCTTGAGACACTTAGCTTTTTCTCACTCACTTTTCCACATTTTGCCTCGGAGTTTTTTTGTACATGTATTAGTACTATGTGACATACTCCTACAAAAATATTGGAGACTAGATTTGCCTGGATGGTTTCTGAGAGCTGGAAAGATGTGAAAATGACTCAAAGCCCAAATTTCTTGTGCAAGGTCCTGAGCTTCTCTGGGCTCACAAAAATAAAAGAACCTTCACAAGTCTACTGAATAACATTCAACTTGATGCCTAAATGCATTGCAAGGGGATCAAGCTGGAGAGAAACATATAAATGCACTTTAGAGCATCCTTGAGACAGGTTGACGCAGCGCCAGGTGTCATATCACATCTCTAAAAAAGAATTTGTCAGCCAAACCATTCCAAATCAGACAAGAATTGATGAGATGTCACACTGTGGTAAAACCACTAATAACGAGTTTTGCAACTGATTCCACTCCAGGCAGATGTACACTTGGTGGATAGAGCTCAAAATTTATGATCATATAAGAAGAAGTATGTAGAATTCATAATCTTCACTCTGATCTAAGATTAGAGGAGGGGTGAGTGTTTGCCAGGTTTAAGAAGATTTGGGTGTCTCAAGGACCGTTAGATGACTGTATTAGTCTGTCATTTGCTTTTGTATTTTTGTATAATTCACTTTTTTTTTTCCCTGTTTTCCTGCCTTGAATACATATTTTGTGAATAACAACAAACCTTAAAAGGTAACCTGATTTAGTGGCTTATATTCCATGATCGACTACTTTCTGCAATTGCCACCATGACTTTATCTTTAGAGATTCTCTGTATGGTGCTTGAGGAGGTGGTGATTCCTTGGTCTGATCTAGACGATAATACAAAATATTGGCAGCTCTCCCTTTGAACTGTGGATCCCTTTTTCTACCGCGAGGTGACACCTCCACCTGCAGCCATTTACATCACTAGTGCAGACTCTCTTCAGGAGCTCTTTCACGACATCATTACTTTCGAAACGACTTGCTGTCGCTGTTCCCTTGTGTATGGTGACATCATGAGCAATCAATGAACCCACCAAAACTTCCTTGACATCTATCTGCTCCAGATCGAGTGCGATCTCAGCATCATTGGTCAGGGCTTGGCACAGATGGCAGTTAGACTTATGGGTCGCCTTTCTGAGCTGAACTACATCATTGGGGACAGCCATGTCCTGTCGCAGGGGGATGTCATTGTAGATCACTTGATATCCTGGTGGCCAGAGAACCAATGTCCTCTCGAATGCTTTCGTTTGTATGACTACTGACAGTTGGTGATTTTGTGAGTAGCATTATAAATACGATGACATTGACATGGCTAATACTTATTATAGAATGATATCACCCAGCTTACAGCATCAACTCCTTGAACAAATCCTCTTTTTCTCATTCATCTTGCAAAATGTCGTCATCTTTGAATGGTCGCCATCAACTCACGACTTTTTGCATATCCCATTCCACTTCTACCAGCCACCATTTCTGAACTCCCTGCCTTCTTTGCAACCAGTACTTTCGACTACAAAGGTCGAAAGCGTGATCTAGCATGTACATGGTACAATGCTATACCCTCATTATGACGAATCTTCCTATCTTATGCTGGCTGAGATCCCCTGGATGTGTGGAGTTCAGATAGAGAGTCTCATGGGAAAAAAGTGTTGGTGCAGCATACAATTGGTGAGAGGTTTGAAGTTATAGAGGCTTTGGACTCTAGCCTGTATGAGGGACATCGATATGATCCTCATCCCTTTGATAGACAAGATCACACAAAGGTGTATCCCGATTCTTACGATTTGAATTCACAGATGGAATGGTCTAAGGTAAATGTGCTTGTCATCAGAAGATAATGTATGCTCGGAGAGTAGACATCGAACATAACTTTTTTCTTCTATTCTTCCTTTTCCCTCCATTTTTCTCATGTACACAGAGATTACAATTCCTGAGGTACGAAGAGAATCGTTCTTATATGCGGTGGGCCTTTGGAGGCTGAGGTGAACTGTGATGCACTTTTCCCCAAACTGTGGGAAAATCTCAAAGATAGAACTTAGCTACAAACATTCTAATGGCTCTTCTTGCCCAACTACAAATTGATTATAGGTGGACATTCAAAACAGTTGTATTGAAAACCGGCGCGACTTGTATAAATAACCATCAACAGATGCCTGGCTGCAGCACTTAGATTAGATAACAGATAACAGCTCTATTTTAGAGAACATTGAAATTACATTCTACGAAGTGTTGTACTGAGTTCAATGCATTGTAACTATCATCATTAAATTGAAACCAAAAAGTAGACCTAGTTAGCACCCTAAAACATTCAATTTCATTAAGATTTGAGTAACAAACCACTTTTGCAATACTAAGGTAAACGGCAAGAATGCCTGCTTAGTCAGTTTCCTAATTTGGGAACTGAAGTACCTAAAGTACCCATGATTGTCTAGGTCATATCTCTAATTTTTTCGCATTTTTCTGCCTGTTAAAAATATTTCTGACCTCAAAATACACTTGCCCAAATTGGGAAAGTCAGGAGTCTTTGAAGTTACGATTTCTGAGAAATGAAAAGAATCATTCTTACGATGGGACTTTGACGACATAATCCTAAAAAAGTATTATAATGATGCCTACATTCATTACATTACAAATAAGAATTACTACAAAAAATAACACTAGAAACTATTACAAATGTGCCTACAAGAATCACTACAAAAAATGTTACCAACGTGCCTATAAGAATCACTACAAAAAATGACACTAGAAACTGTTACAAATGTGCCTATAAGAATCATTACAAAAAATAGCACTAGAAACTGTAACAAATGTGCGTAAATGAATCACTACAAAAATTGACCCTAGAAACTATTACAAATGTGCCTACAAGAATCACTACAAAAAATAAGCCTAGAAACTGTTACAAATGTGCCTACAAGAATCACTACAAAAAATGTTACCAACGTGCCTATAAGAATCACTACAAAAAATGACACTAGAAACTGTTACAAACATGCATATAAGAATCACTACAAAAAATGAGACTAGAATCACCACAAAAAAATGACCTTAGAAACTGTTACAAATTTGCGTATAAGAATCACTACAAAAAATGACCCTAAGAATCATTACAAAATATGTTGCTAATGTGCCAATAAGAATCACTACAAAAAATGACCCTATAAACTGTTACAAATGTGCCTATAAGAATCACTACAAGAAATAGCACTAGAAACTTACAAATCTGTGTATAACAAGGCATTAAAATCTATACAAGAAAAATTTATTATATTATGTACTAACTTCTAGTATGTGATCTAATTATGTCGAGTAAGTGTCCTACAATATCCCATTATACTGCATAGTGTGAGTTTTAAAGAGCCTTACAATAGTTTACAAAGTCACCTACTGACTCTTAGTATATTGTCTAGTAATATTCAGTAAGTCAACAATAACCTATTATGCTGGTTCCTAATGTACTCATTACTATCAGTTTGTAATAAGCTTACAACAGTCACCTGGTATCACTTTGTAAGAGTCTTCAGTAACCTATAGTAGTGTTCTAGTACACTATCTGTAAGATGCTTACAATAGTCGAGTATACCATTATCTGCTAGTTGATGATTACAATACACTACAAAGTGTTATATTGACCTCCTATTATGTTGTCTAGTAATGTTTAGTAAGCCTTCTACAACATCTTATTATGCCATTTATTAAATTCTGGTACACCCTCTAGTATTGGTTTGTAAGAACCTTAGAATGACCTATAAGACTGCCTAGTTACCACTATAATGGCATGCTATACTGTCTACTGACACCTAGGATGACATCTAGTATGAGTTTCCAAGGACCTTACATCATGTCACAATTTTTCTGGTATTTCTGCGATTTTTTTGGATTTTATTGTAAGTGTTTGCTCCAGCCACAAGTCACGTTTCACACGGGCGTTAACGAGACGACAAAAACTCGCGCTGCCACATGATGCAGCACGAGTTTTTGTCTCACCAACGCCCAAATAGGCGCTGTGGCGCGAAACTCGAGTGACATGTGACAAGTGTGGCTGGAAGTACTTTCAGCCAAACTTGTAAGGCTTGTGGTTCACTTAATTCTGCTCAGATTTTGATGACCCTGGTACACCTCCACACTTTCCGCACGTGTAAACCAGATTTTTGGTCCATGTGGCACATCCAAGTAATCCTTCAGGTGGTCATCGGACTGACATGTGCGATGCACGTTTACTGAAAAATGTACCCAGGATGCGTACATGGCCAGATGTATGCCTGGTTGGAGCTCCAGGTGAGGTGCAGGTGCGGAGACATCCTCGGCGTTGATACAAACCCATCGCAGTGTTCCCTGTAATATCGTCGATAGAGCATATTGTAGAATTTATTATATACGGTGTTGAGTCCATCGGATAATGACATTGGTGCGTCAATGTCGAATCGCTGCGCTCCGTCATCACCAGACATATTGCAGGTGTGTCGCGCAGTCAAAACATCGGCCATAAAATCCATAATATTACGAGCATATATGTACGATACACTGAGCGATCTATTGCATTCAACGCATACATACGGAATCCACGTTAGCTGGCTGCGACAACGGTGCTCACAGTCTGCAACCAAGCCATCGGCGAGACGTCAGTGATGAGTTTATGGACCTCTTGTTCATCGTGTGTCTGTGCATATTTCTGGAGGTCTTTGTCAATGAACCACTTCATAGCTCTGCAATACACAACATCAGCTATCCAATACACACCAGAATAAGCAGTTTGGATGCACTGAGAAGCAGCAATTGCATCACCACCAGCGTCTTCTCAGATTTGCGCGAGGACCTTATCGACTTCAATCCAGAAGGCGTTGTCCGTCTTTTCTTCTTCGAAGAATACGCAACGCTTACAATTGGTGTGTTAGTCACAAGACGTGCACAAGTTCATATGGACGCACCATAATTGCAACACGAGCAATTAACTCCAAGGACATCTTACACCCACTGTCGCCGATCAGCCTCTTCATTATTGTGTAGATGTCCCAGTCAGTGCTCTTCTTGATCTACCCCGGCATTGTTAGACCACAAACATTTGATTGGCTAACAAGGACGTACCTCCTCCTTGAATGCCCGTCTACGTTGTGTGAACACTTCACCAACTTCCGACTTGATGAGTTGCCAGTGCGCGCAATTCTTCTTGATGTCAACTGGAAGGTCAAACCTCATTCTCTTGATGATGGTCTAGGATAGCATGCACGACTCAGTACGTGTCTACAGGAATAGAAGGTACTTACCAGAAGATGCTTGATGGGGACCTTCTCGTGGTATCCATGTAGACACGGATCCAGCAAGATTGCGTGGGCATATGTCTTGATGTTGCTCTGGCATGATCGTCTCGGTGAGATCTTCTCTTGAATTCTAATTTAGGAATTTCACTTGCCTTCAATTGCTCAGAAGGCCCATTCCACTGTTTCTTGGCCTCGTCGAAGTTCCCGAGTCTTTTGTCAGTGGCGGTCAACTTGATGTATAACCGGGTCAGTCTCTTGTCAAATGTAAGCTACGGGACACCTTCATCAGTGGTTTTGAACAGAGTGCACAGCACTCACGTACCTTGTTGAAAGCCTGAACCTCAGCTGTCTCCGTCTCATCCAGCCGTGCCTTCTTGCACTCATTGGCTGTGAATACTTCCAGGTTTGTGGCCACATTTGCTGAGACACTCGGCCGTAACACTGACGAAGATCCCAATGCAATGGCAGATGATGGCAGAACATTCTCCTCATCGGTTATCGAGTCGTCAATATCATCATGTGGTCGCTTGTGGCCACTATGAGCTTCATCTGCTGGAGCTTCCGTGGATGGACCTGTAGAAGGAGTTCTTGGTGTTGGAGGGGTTCGTTGTTGCATGGCAAGCCTGAGGGCTTCACGGTCAAGTGGCATGATGTTGTGGAGGGCCAAATTTGGGTGAAGGGGATGGGGAAGTGGGGTGCAATGGTGGTGGAAATGAAGGAAGTTGAACGGGTGGCTGAAGGTGCACGTCTGGTTTGTATTCCTGTGGCCATCGCGCCTGGAGAATTGCACGCGGCCAGCCACAATATCGCCGTGGCACACTCTGTGCCACGAAGAATTGTCACTGATTGCAACGTTCTTCAGCTGTGAATTTACCAATTCATTTCATTTTTTTCAACCATGCCAGCTCGCAAGCCACTGGATCCATGTAAGTAATGGGCTTTGCACGACTAAGTAAATATAGGCTTACATTGCATTCAATTGTAGGTTTTGAAGAGCTTCCTGGGGGGAAATTCCAGTGTATACTCTGCACACCCTACATTGGCGAGAAGACTATGGGTCGAAGTGCAATTCAAGGCCACTTAGCAACAAAGGTACATCACGAAAGCATAGGATACCAAGCTGATCAGGAGAAGCAGAATGCAATTGAAGAAGCAAAAAGTGCTGCATATGAGGCTCAATGGGAGGCAGCCAATCTCTCTGAATGGCATGCTACTCCCTCGGTGTCTGCAGTGCATCCATATCAATCCAGGACAGATGCTGCTGAGTTTGTAGAGCAAATCTACGACAATGATGTCATGCTCTCCCTTGACCACCCGGCTGAAGAAAGTACCCGAGACCGTTTGGCTTGCGAATATGAGAATTTTCATCTAGGAACTGTTATGCGCATGGCGAAGTCACTCGGAGTAGGTATCACCAATCCTGAGGCTGCACTGGAGCTTGTTGAAGAGGAATTTCTGGATGCACATATGGGCGAGATGATGCGAGAATTATGTGAGCGACAATGCATTATTCTGACAAAATTATTTAGACTTATCAATTTATATGTTCAGCCCTTGGTGATGATCCAGACAGCGATGAAATTCATGCTCGCGAGTTTGGCTATCATCCTGGAGCACCACTGGAGGAGAAATGGTTTCCATACCCTAACAAAACAGTGAGTATGCTAACTTATTTACAAATTGTCTGTGTCTGTAACACCCTTTCCATGAAGTTCTTTCTTCTTGACACACTCGATAATCTGCCACGGCTACGAATATCTGATGCCCTTATGCGAATGATCCTGTGGGTGCTGCGTGAAGCACGTGCACGTAATGTGCCATCCTTCAGTGCATTTCGAAAATTTCAAGGGGAATTACGCAAGCAGTTGGGGATCACAACAATGAAGTTCCAGTCACCACTTGGGAATATATTCTATATGAATGACATCTGAGCCCTCGTAGCAAAGGTAAGTCCAGTCATCCAGTCCAATGCAGCAGTTATGATGATACAGGTACTGACTGCACTATATAGGACTATACAAACCCTCTTGCAAGACCCCTGATGGTTCATTATCCACGAAAGCCATCCCATACAGTCTCTGAGATATGGCATGGAGAGAAGCTTAATACTGAAGTGCCTATGGATCAATTATGCCCGCATTTTATTACGATTCCTGAGGTACGAAGGAATCATTCTTTATGGGATAGGGCTTCCGCCAAAATTCTGAGGGACAGATGAAACGGCCCCTATGCGTGAGAACGACTTTTCAATACAAATTTGTATGCATGGGCTGCACCTAGTCCTGGGTTAGGTCTAGGGTTTAAATACAAATTTTGTAGTGTCTGTTGTTACTGTACTACAGCTTGCATACGGTCGGTCTTTCAAAGTGATTGTAGTAGAAACCAACGCGACTTGCACAAATAATCTACAACAACAGTGCCACATTTCCTCCTCTCCATCGTTGCAGAACCATTCATGTCTCCCATCCTAGCTCTTCTGGTTAATTGTCAGTAGTTCATTTAATGGAACAGACAATTATGTTATTCACCTCCGAGAAGCTTAATCAATGTGTCTTGTAGCATGATCTTCCTGTATCGTTCATGAGAAATTGACTTTGGCTTTGGTTTCTTTGCCTCCATATCTCTAGGTTTCTGCTTAGTATAAGTCATATTCATACTATTGCATGCACTCACAATACAATCTCAACACATTGTCTTCTATTTCTCCGGTCTACAGTCCACATTGAAGTACTTGTATTCCTCTGCCCATTCTCAATCGACTGAAATCCTTCTTTGATTGTCAGCTCTCCATCAGTTTCGAGTCTTCTTCCATATATATGCCGTTTATCTGAGTCATCCATCTCCCAATACCAGAACATCTCGTACTCATTCAGCTCTCCATGACAAAATTATAACTCGCGTAAGGTCGGTAGTTCTCTGAACCATGTCGTGATAGTAGTCTCTTCGTGTTGCGACATCACATCGAAGTATTGCTGACCACTGTCAATTCCAGTGAGTTCCACAGGTGGTGTGAAGGCGAGCATCGGTGTGTCGAGATGAAATGTATGCAGGCAAGGTAGGCGGGCAAGAAGCTGTAAAAAATGGGATTGATACCATGGCATTTCTTTTCTCTGTATGCCATTTAGTTGCAGAATTCTTAGACTGGATAAAATGCTTACTTGCACTCATGCCAACAAAGAATCCTCATTATGATATAGATGGAGTTGCTTGAGTGTACTTCTCTCATCCTTCCACCATGCAGTTATGCGTTCGAGCTGGTTTGTGCACACCTGATAGCTGATAGTGTACTTTTAAGCTCGTCAAGGAGATTATAAGGGGTATAGCTGCCTTGGCCAATATTTGTATTTGCAATACATTGTAGTCGAGGCAGTGCCGTAGATCCAATTCAGAAATGTTCAGAAATGTCAGGTGGTTTTTGTTTGGGTCATTGCTGAGATAGCATTTGCAGAAGGACTTCTCATACTTGATAATTGCTCGAAAGAGAGCAATAAGCTGATCCTCTATATCGATAATGATTGTCGTTGGAGAAAAGGGAGGAATGACTGTAGCATCGAGCCAACATTTGCTCGTGAGTCGCAGCTTTTGCTGCCACATCCTGACCTCTGTCTTCTTTGCCTCTGTCTCAGCCTCCTTGACTGTAAGAACCTTCTCTATGTTGCAGGTCAAGTGTGACCAGTCCGATATGACCTTCTTGCATATTAGAATGCTGACTTCATTTGGAAGGGCTGGAATGATTCAATCTGGAGGTGCTGACATGGGATTTAAAAACATATAGTTCTCTGTCAAACAATAGTTTACACATGTTAGATTACAAATCATTACGGGACTGGTACGCTAAATATGTCAGAATCGTATGGGGGATTGTGCACTAGCTCTACGACCTCGTTCACCGCGAAAAGATCTTATATATGTTCATTTAGCATCTGTTTATATTATATGCCACAATGGTATTCTTACCAACTTCCTTGGGGAGACGCTCGTGATACAGTGCATTGAGATTGATTCTTGTGTTGCCGACTTCAGCAATAAACTTGAAATATTGTCCAGCGATAACTTCCTCCTTCTACAAATATGTGAATATCTGGATGAATGCTCGAGAGACAACTAAACAAACATTTTCATCTTTCTCAAGATTTAATATCATTCGTGTTGTATCTGGTGTAGTGACGATGGCAATGTTCTGACTCACCTGTGTAATATAACCTCATATTATTATATCTGAGTAGAGTAAAGCTTACTGCATTTATCATACAGGTGAGCTTGACCTTTCTTCCCTCAGGATATAGATGAGCATAAAGGCGGAGGATTGTTCCATTAATGCAAGGTGTAAAATGGTCTGAGTTCATGATGGTTGTGTTTTTCACGTCAAGCAATGACTCCACCTCCTTATAATATGTCTAAAAATATAATTTTGTAATATTTGTAATGTGCTCCTAGGAGAAAATTGTTTTAAGCATCATTCACGCTTCTACTTGTGTATCCTAGCCTGTGACTGGTTAATGCTCACTGTAATGCATCTTTGAGTTGTAGTTTGATTGTACTATATATATTCAATGTGTTATGTCATGTTCTGTATCATAGTAGTCGCACATTACATATTATTTAAATATATGAATTTGTAAACTGTTTGTTTTTTTGGGGGCAAAAGGTGACAGGTTATATTTTCTATACTATGGTCAAATAGTCTACACTGTACAAATAGTATTGTAACTGATGTTTCAACTGGCTGTGTCCATTGGTAGGTGTCACATCGGGCGACAATGCCGGGCACCCTGCGCGTTGGACGGCAGAGGGCGGGGGAGAGCTGGGGGAGCACTTCGAGGCAGTGGCGGGTGCCACATGGCATCGTGTGACGACGACGATGAATGGAGGCCCCGCACTTGATGCAGGGGCCTCCGTCATGGCCTCTGGCACGTCCTAGTGTCAGGCCTGGTCGCTGTTCTGTGCCAGAGGGCGGGGGAGAGCCGGGGGAGCACTTCGGGGCAGTGGCGGGTGCCACGTGGTGTCGTGCGATGAGGACGACGAACGGAGGCCCCACACTTGATGCAGAGGCCTCCGTCATGGCCTCTGGCACATCCTCATGCCGAGCTTGGTCGCCATTCCATGCCAGAGAGCGGGGGAGAGCTGGGGGAAGAATTTGCAGAGGTGGTGGGTGCCGCATCGCGTCGTGTGATGACGAGGATGAATGGAGGCCCCGTACTTGATGCGGGGGCCTCTGTCGTGTCCTCTGGCACATCCTCGTGCCGCACCATGTGCATTGGATGGCAGAGGGCGGGGGAGAGCCGGGGTACTTGGGGGTGGTGGCGGGTGCCACATGGCATCACGTAACAACAAGGATGAACGGAGGCCCCGCACTTGATGCAGGGGCCTCCATCATGGCCTCTGGCACGTCCTAGTGCCGGGCCTGGTCGCTGTTCTGTGCCAGAGGGTGGGGGAGAGCCGGGGGAGCACTTCGGGGTGGTGGCGGGTGCCACGTGGTGTCGCGCGACGACGAGGACAGACGGAGTCCCCGCATTTGATGCAGGGGCTTCATTCAGATGTTCTGGCATGTCTTCGTGCCGGGCGCATCGTCCGTTCCAGCGCAGAGGGCGGAGGTGAGCCTGGGGAAGGCCAGGAGGAGGTGGTGGGTGTCACCCGTCGCACGACGACGAGGACGAACGGAGCCCCCGCGTTTGATGCGGGGGCTTCGTTCAGGTGTTCTGGCACATCCTCGTGCCGGGCATCCTGCGCGTCAGACAGCAGAGGACGGAGGAGAGCCGGGGGAAGGCCAGGAGGAGGTGGTGGGTGTCGCGTCCCATCGAGCAACAATGACGATGAACGGAGCCCCCGTGTTTGACGCGAGGGCTTCATTCAGGTGTTCTGGCACTTTCCCATGCTGGGTGTGTCATCCGTTCCAATGCAGAGGGTGGAGGTGAGCCGGGGGAAGGCCAGTGGGAGCTGGTGGGTGTCGTGTCGTGTCGCACGATGATGACGATGAACGGATCCTCCGCACTTGATGCGGGTGTATCGTTCGTGTTTATCGGGGCATCCTGTTGTCCGGCACAGCGGGGGGTCAACGGTCGAGGGTGAGCGAGGGAGGACGAAGCAGATAATATGAAGGACTTGAAGACTTGCAGACCAGACCGTGCCGGTGGCGTCGCGGGCTGAGTCCGAAAATATTAACCCAATGGAGGTTGGCTGAGTCTCAACCTACGGCTGAGTTTAGATATCTTGTCGATGGACCTCGCCCATCGACAAGATATCTAAACTCACCGTGTGTTGAGACTCCGCCGGTGGCTGTGGGTTTCTTGCCGAGCGGTGGCCATCCTCCGTGCATCGACTCTCTTTGCTCCTGTCCATACAAAGTCTTGCTGCTGGTCTTCTTGTCTTGATACTTCCTACTTGCTTCTGTGGCAACCACCTGAAGACTTTGGAAGTTCCTTCTACTCAATATTGTGAGTGCTAGCTTGACTTGAACTTACTGATTTTCTTACAGCTTGCAGATACAAATGGCGGAGAATTTACCTGTGCCAAACCCTCCTGGGGAGTTGTTTCCTATCAGAAACCGACACCCTCTCCTTGGGCAGATGTATATAGTTCGAAATCACCCCCTTGCACCTTTCCCGGATGGTCGAACCTTTGTGTATCTTCAAGATACTCAACCAGAAGCAATGCAAAAGTTATGGGATCACTGTAGGGATACTCCACTTCCAGAGGGAAAGGAAGAGGAGGCCGATGATGCTGGTGAGTTGATATTTCCTATACATTTATATCGTATTCAGACCGCCTTCAAGGTTTCTTTTGTTTGCAAGAGGGCGATATGGTGTTTGCTAGAGATATGTTTGGGAGCGGGAGGATGGAGGATGATGTTATACAGTATTGGTGGTCTCCTAAGTGAGTACTCTTCTGAATATGAACTTGAACATTTAGAATTGACGATATTGTAGAGATCAACTTCCCTTGGAAGAAAGATCCGCATTTACAGATGCACGTGCCTTGGGTCTTGGATCGCGTGAGCTTCGGACCGCATCCAAGCCAGAATTGGTGGATGGATCTTGGACGGGTGGTGTTGCATGGGAAAGGGATACTCAGGCAAAGCCTATCAGTGGCTCTGCTCGTTGCTACACTCTGAGGCAGTCATACGAGAGTCAGAAGAATCTTAGCGCTCCTGTGCCAGGTGCTAAGATATTTGAAGAGTGTGTAAATGAACATCAGAAGATGTGTAAGACTATAATTCAGGTGCTAACAGTTTTTTTATTTTGTCTGAGTCGTTTGTTCATATTATATTCATAGGCTTCTTCTCACCTTGCAATGAGCGCATTCAAGCATGCTCCTCCTTATCTCAAGCAGGCATTGAAGTGTCAAGCTGATGTTACGAACTTGCCACCGCTTGGTCATAGCGGTAACTATGCATTTCCGATGCAGCAGATTAATATATCTGCAACAAAGCCTTCTAACACGTTGGCCAGTGCGTTGTATACTATTGAGTTTTCTATTGTTATTTATTTACATTTCGCTTGTAGTCGCACATTTCAAAGGAGACCTAGGCAAGTTTGCTGGCAAGCATATAGATCATCAAGATGCCCCTGAAGGGGTTACTTGCATGCATAGTCATTCTGACCTGGACGAAGATGATCATCCCGGACTTTTCTATCTTCCTGAGATTGGCGCTTATATGGTTATGAGAGGCATGATTTCAGTTTGCTTCTCTGGTCTACGCTTTCATGGCGGCATTCCTCCTACTTCACCTTCTGATCGTGAACCATCGCCTTATTCCTATCGTATAGTCGTGGTCAACTATCCACCAAGCGCTCTGATCAATGCAGATGGTTTGGTCGGTTTTACGTCTATGCCCAACGGTTCTTTACTGTCTCTTCGTCCAGAGATGAGGGATCTCATGTGAGTTTTCCTTTTATTGTTATGTCTGAACTCAGTTAATATTGCCATTTGTTTGAAGCTACAATAATCCTTCTGCCTTTACGTTTAGCAATCACGGCAATTGGGGCACAGATGGACTTGCTCTCACAGAACATTGTGCAATGTTCAATTGGTATGCGAGAGCCATGGCTCAATTCTCTGCCTATCTCTTGCGTGGTCTACCCTCTAGTCTGGCAGCAGATTTCTACAAAGCTTGACTGCAGTCGTGGATGGAGAGCGAATAACTCCTGATCCTTGGGAGTTGGGACCTAGTTCTACAATATTTTCTGACGAGTTCCAGGCTACACGTGCTCATGCTCTGATCTATGGACTGAGCATAACAAGAAAATGTCTCGCTTCATTCCATATCTTGCACGTAAAACTAATATTGTGGCCAACGATACTCAGACGGAGTCAGACTCGGATGGCGAGTCAGATACAGAACTTCATGGCAGACGTGGTATGTATTATACTTGTCTGTATAAGATCTTAAATTGATTTTGAGCCTTGTTATTCTAGCAGACAAGAAGGGCAAGGGTAAAGGCAAGGGCAAAGGCAGGAGCAAGGGCAAGGCAAAGGGCAAAGGGAAAGGATCTGCGAGCAACAAACGGTCTGTCCAGCAACTTGCCGGTTCAGATGTGGATATGTTTGCAGAGTTGCCGGAATGTCAAAAGTGTAAGTATTTGTTGTTTTTTTTTGTCGTCATCTCATTAATTTTGAACATAGGTCGTCAAATCCAGCGCATTGGTATGTTTTCTATTCTCCTTTGTTACTATATGTATTCACCTTCCATTAGATCAAGGGCCTTATGCAACCAGTTTGAAATTGCAACGTCAGCCAGAAGTGCGCTTCACTAGGAAACATAAAAGTTCGTGGAAATCCACTTTCAGTTCTCTGCTCGAACACAACACCCATATGAACTTGTGGGGAGTAGGCCATTGCATTGCATGGCAGGAACGATTCCTGAGGTCCTGTGTTTCTGCCTTTTTCTCATTATTTAATCATTCCTACATGCATTAATTATTTTATTACTTCTTAGTAGTTGATCACTTGTGCAGAGTAGTCCATTGCATTGCATAGCATGTTGTATATTTATTCAGTATCTATTTGAAGGTTTCACCATTTGTATTCACTTAAAACAGTCACTTTAGGTAAAAATATACTAAAATTTTATATTATACTAATAAGTATAAAGAACTCAAGTCTTTCTTGTATAATTTTTGAAGCTCTGAAACTCTGTTTTTACTTTAACTACATTTATATAAAAATTCATTTTATACAGATATTAAAAAGAAATAAAATATTAGAATGTCTAATATTTGGATACTCTAAGTATCATTAATAACTGCATTACAATATTTTAGTATCCTATTCATCTGACATTTTACTTACAAATATTTGGTAATAGTACTACAATAGTCCAGCATGCCATTTATATGTCTATACCAAAAAGTTATAAGAAAATGCGAGTGCTTTTTAAATGAAAACATTGTAATAGTTTGTAATATTATTTAATAACTGGTATATTGACTAGTATAATATAGTAAGCTTCTAATAATATTATACTCTTGACTTACTTATAAGATGTCATCTGATTATAGTTTATAAAAATCTTATAATAGTATATAAGAACATGCAACACACTTTACAACAATAATATGTTATGTTATCACATGAGTCTTCCACATCTGCTATGTTGCCTACCAACCTTTTGCATGCCATTTAATATTTGTTGACAATATAGTATAATGTAGATAATAATTTATTTGTAGTTGCCTGATCATAGTCTAACATATTGCTAAGTATCTTAGAGTAGAATTATCTAAAACATAGCTTTAAAATGATCTTAATTTGTCCTTTTATATAAGAATGTTACTAAAAATTGTTAGTACACCTCTCATAAAAATCACCTTTAAAATTGCTTAAAAATGATACTACTATGTTGTTCTGCAAAAAGTATACAAAAACATTACTAAAAAGTGACCAGTATGCATTCTAAAAGACTGAGCTAAAAAATGGCTTCAAAATGATATTATCATGTTATTTTATAAAGTTTATACAAAAATATAACTAAAAAGCAACTAGTATGCATTCTAAAAGAATCCGCTGAGTTCAAAATGGTATTACTATGTCATTTTATATAAAGTCTATATAAAAACATAACTAAAAAGTGATTGGTATGCATTTTAAAAAAATCAGGTGAAAAATGACTTCAAAATGATATTACTATGTTGTTTGGCAAAAAGTACATAAAAACATCACTAAAAAGTGACTAGTATGCATTCTAAAAGATTCCGCTGAAAAATGGCTTCAAAATGATATTACTAGGTCATTTTATAAAATTTATATAAAAATATGACTAAAAAGTTATTAATATTCATTTTACTGACTTCTAATACATAAGATTCACTACAAAAAATGATCTTAGAAACTGTTACACATATGCCTACAAGAATCACCACAAGAAGTGTTATCAATACGCCTCTAAGCATCACTACAAAAAATGACCATAGAAACTGTTATAAATGCCCTTACAAAAAGCACTACAAAAAATGTTACCAAGGTCCCTATACAAACTACTACAAAAACATAATGCTACAAAGTGTTACAAATGTGTCTACAACAATGACTACAAAAAATGAGCCTAGAAACTGTTACACATGTGCCTATAAGAATCATTATAAAAAAGTTACCAACGTGCCTATAAGAATCACTACAAAAGATAACTCTAAAAACAGTTACTAATGTGCCTACAAGAATCACTACAAAAAATGACGCCAGAAAGAGTTACAAATGTGTCTATAAGAATCACTACAAAAACTGTAACCAACATGCGTATAAGAATCACTACAAAAAATGACCCTAGAAACTGTTACTAATGTGCCTAGAAGAATCACTACAAAAATTGTTACCAACATACTGATGAGAATCACTACAAAAACAACCCTAGAAACTGTGACTAATGTGCCTAGAAGAATCACTACAAAATTTGTTACCAATATGCTCATAAGAACCACTACAAAAAATAACTCTAGAAACTGTTACAAATGTGCCGACAAGAATCACTACAAAAAATATTACCAATGCACCTATGAGAACCACTACAAAAAGTAGCACTAGAAAGTATTACAAATGTGCCTACAACAATATTAAAATGTATACAAGAAATTGTTATTATATTCTCTACTCACTTCTAGCCATTTTATAATGTGTCCTACAATGTCCCAATATCTCTTGATAAGTTGTGTGGGTTGATAAGAACCATACTATTGAATAGCCTACAAAGTCACCTACTGACTCTTAGTCTATTATCCAGTAATGTTCAGCAAGTTAACAGTAGTCTATTACACTGAGTCCTAATATACTCTTTAGTATCAGTTTGTAATGAGCTTACAATAGTCTGAATATGTCACCTGATGTCACTTTGTAAGAATCATTAGTAACCTACAATAGTGTCTAGTAATCTCTCGTAAATGCCCTAGTATGCGAGTTTATAAGGGCCTTACAATAGTTAGATATGTCACCTAGTGTCAGCTTATATGATGCTTACAATAGTCTGGTATACCACCTAGTACAAGTTGGTGAGGGCCTTGCAGTAGCCTACAAAGTGATATATTGACTCCTAGCATGTTGTATAGTAATGTTTAGTAAGTCTCCTACAATGCCTTATTATACTGTTTATTGAATTCTAGTACACCCTCTAGTATCACTTTGTAAGGGCCTCATAATGTTCAGATATGTCATCTAGTTTGTGTTTGTAGAGGCCTTACAATAGTCTGAAATGCCACCTAGTATGAATTGTAAGGACCTTACAATGGTTTACAATATTGTCTAGTTACTTCTACAAGTCTACTATCATCAAAAGGTCATGCCATAATTTTCCTGGTATTTCTGCGATTTTTTTGCATTTTATTCTGCATGTTTGTCTTCAGCCACATGTCACATGGCCTACAGGTCACGTTTCCCGCCGTATAGAACGTTAAGCGCCCTAGAGCGCTTAACGTTTCATACGGGAAACGTGACTCGGGTCGCACGTGATACTACCGGCTTCAAGCACTTGTTACCACACTTGTAGCCAAACTTGCCAGGCCTGTAGTTCAGTCAATTCTGCTCGGATTTGGATGAACCAAGTGGCCATTCTGACCGGATTTTCAAGCTGAATCTGATGGTGTTACTTGTAGAACATCAAAATCACTTGCTGGAGTGCTACAATTTATTGTTTTAGTTTTCTCTCAATTCTGCTTGTTTCTTCAATGTGCACTGCATGTAAAAAATAAGGCGCCCTGTCTAGCATGTTCATGTGCATTTTAGAGTCATTCTCAAAATTTCCTGGCATTTCTACAATTTTTCTGCACTTCACACTGAGCATTCTAATCCAAAACTGACATATCTCAGCCAGTTTTACTCAGATTTACTTGGTTTAAGAGAGCATTATGCTCTATTTCCTTCACAGATTTCAATGGTACTGCTTTTTATGTGTTGGAATTAGCATGTGCTTCTATACTTTCACTGACTATGATGCATTGGTCCTTTGTGGCTGCTGTGGCACTTCTGTTGATTACTATTTGTGCAAGTCGCGTTGGTTTTCACTACAATCAGTTTGAAAGACCAACTGTACTCAAGTTGTAGGATGGTAACAACAGGGACTACAAAGTTTGTAGTTAAACCCTAGACCTAACCCAGGACTAGGTGCAGTTCTCACATACAAAATTGTATTGAAAAGTTGTTCCCACACCTTGGGGAAAAAGTGCGTGTCCTCCCAAAAGTTGGCGGAAGCCCTATCCCATAAAGAACGATTCCTTCGTACCTCAGGAATTGTAATATTGACTCTAACTCTGGTAATATGAAGGTGGATGGGGATAATGACATGCGCAGAAGCAGTCGCTTGTTGGGAAAGAAATGTACTAAATGTTTGTGATTATATATATTCTATACTCTGAACATTTCACTCAATTTAAATGTCTAGACAATCTCCCTGAGCCACTTGATGATGATGAAGGTGATGATGGTTATTGTCCGGACAACGATACTGAAGATGACATACCACTCTCACACACAAAGCCTTTGAGAAGAGCCAAAGTTGCTAAGGTCGACAAGGTTTCAGCCCTTCTACATGTGTTTTATGAGGAGTCTGAAGAGCACAGTGAACCTGCTGAAGAGTTAGAAGACTCTTCTCGTGTTATGCAAGGTATGAGTCTTTGCTGTATTTTGCTGTATATATTTGATTAAGAATTATTTTGCAGAGAATGAACAGCAAGACATTAAGTTAATTGAAGAGGTGTTTGCTGCAAATGATGGTGCTCCTGGTAATAACTACATATGTTTTATTTAATCAACTCTGACTTTATATGTCACACAGTGGCGCTGCAATATTTTCAGCAAAAGAACCTTAGTGCAACGAAACTCAAGCTATCACGCATTGTTGCTGAGGTTAAGATGCAGATGAAGCGACAGGATCCAAAGGCATTGCAGCAAGTGGCTACATTTCTTGCAAACTTCAATAATGGTCGTCAGCGTATGAGCGCTGGGTTTGCCTTGGATCTCTCTCGGATATGGTCACTATTGAACATGCTTACCAGAAAGCTCGATATTCGTGACTGGGATTTGATGCTATCTCATCAGCAGCTTATGTTATCAGCAGCAGCCGCTTGGTACTGGCTAGATCACAGTTGCATGGAGCATTGTGCCAAATTTCTTGCTTTCCATGTCAATACCAGTCTTCCTCCCACAGACTGGCTATCTGCTCTGACTATGGCAGTCTATACTCATCTCTCTACTGGCGACTCTGTGGATTTAAACCCAACATCATTCATTCCAGGTCTTGACAACATGCCTTCCTATCTATTATCCACCTTCCTGACATTTAAAGGCAAAAAGTTGCAAGTCCGTACGCTTCGATTGGTTTATATCATTGTACGCCAGTGGCTTTCTTATCCAAACAACACCTATCTCGCACAAGGGGCTTTTGTTTATCGCCTCGTCGACACCTTTCAAACTCAACGTATGCTTCTTTTGGAAGGTGTCTGGCATGCCTTCAGCTTCGTCAAGAAGGCCGTTCTTAATACCCCTTCGATGCGGCACAGTTCTATTCGTGTTAATATGCTGGATGGCTTTTTCAAGAAACTCCAAGAGTTGCCAATCCTGACGCCTCACAGTTCTGAATATAACACATTCAAGGACATCATTGGTGATGCAGAACGTTGCGTTACATCTCATCGCAAAACTAAACCTGCTCCCTCCAATCCTTCTCCCAATGTACACCCTGTCCCTATCGCATCATCTTCTACACCTTCAACCTATAGTCCAGAACTGCACCGTCTACTGAAGTTTGTCAAGGATCTTTTGCCGCTATGTCTGGAGACTTCGCCTTCCTCACCTACTTGTATTCAAGCGCACATTCTCAAAGACCTGGACAAATTTTTCCCTTTCCGCGAGCATGCACCTACAAAACTCAGCGTATCTGGCCCGAATGGTCCACTGCATCCAGATAATATTAACAAGCCTGGCGGCTTTGCCAGTGTACTGTGTTGGTGTGGAGTGACCTTTGGTTGCAAAGCTGCGGTTGAGAAGGAGGTCTTCTTTCCTGATCTTGAAGCCTTCCAGGCCATGTGTCGTTCTTGTCCATCAGATGATCCTAAGTTCCTTTGCAAGAAGACTGCCTATGGTTCAGCAATTGGTGGACGCGGGCCTGAGCATGCTCCTGCCTACTTTGCTGCAGAGAAGGAGTGGAAGAAGTTGTTTGACGATCCTTCTATGGTCGATGCCAATGGTCAGCTTGGATTCACCATATTTTATCAGTGGACCCAGTCCGTGAATCTGCCACAGATGGGGCCTCTTATAGGAATGCTTTTAGCTGGAGACCTATGTCATGCTGGCAAAGTTCGGATGCCTAGCGCTGAGGAGATGGGGACATTGGTGAGTGCAGTAAATAAGGGAGCAGTTTCTGGCTTGCAATATTGCTCATTGCTACCTGATACCTACTCTCGAGCGGAGGTTGTACAGGCCTTCAAAGTTGCCTACAACTTTTTGGACACCATGCTTTCTGAAGAGGAGAAGGTACTCATTACCTTTAATGTAATAATGGTGGAGCATTTACTTTGTAAAATTCAACGGTCAAGTAAATATATAGACGAGTAGAAAGTTCAAACTCTACCAATTCCATATACAGTTGATATTGCAGCGGCAGTTGGAGGAGCATTGTAAGAACTTCTTTACCCATCATTGCACATTGAAATAGCATCAGGACAAGCCCTAGTTTGTCCTTTTAGGTGAGTTCTTCATCTTTCAATTTTCGCTTTTTATCCTCACCCAAAGCTCTCTCTAGTGCCAATATCTGAGGCTGGATGGCAGATCTGACCCTTTGCCCATGTTTATACAATATGGTAGGTCAATATTGAGCCCTAGATCGTCCGGTATGCTGCTGTATTTATTCTTCTGACTTATTCTCTCTGGGTCACCTAGCTAAATCCAATTTATATTCTAGTGGTTCAACCAATGGCTGTACTTCAGAACGGTGTTTTGGCCCATCATTGCACATTGAAATAGCATCAGGACAAGCCCTAGTTTGTCCTTTTAGGTGAGTTCTTCATCTTTCAATTTTCGCTTTTCATCCTCACCCAAAGCTCTCTCTAGTGCCAATATCTGAGGCTGGATGGCAGATCTGACCCTCTGCCCATGTTTATATAATAAGGTAAGTCAATCTTGAGCCTTGGATCATCCGGTACAATGTAAACGAGGCCCCCACTTTAATCTGCTAAATATACCTGTAGCACCCTAGATTAGACTACACCTGTATCTGTACAGTACATGTTAATTAATATGTGTCAGCCTTGCTTGCTTTGATACTTTAGCATAATTCACTTTTTTTCTTGTGGTTTCCATGTCTTGAGGATATATTTTGCGAACGACAACAAACCTTAAAAGTCAACCCAATTTAGTGACTTATAATCGCTGATCCACTCCTTTCTGCTACTGCCACCATAACTTTGTCTTCAGAGATTCTGTGTATGGTGCTTAAGGAGATGGTGATTCCTTGGTCTGATGTAGACCATGATACAAAATCTTGGCAGCTCTCCCTTCAAACCGTGGATCCCTTTTTCTATCGCGAGGTGACACCTCTGCCTGCAGCCATTCACATCACTAGTGCAGACTCTCTTCAGGAGCTCTTTCACGACATCATTACTTTCGAAATGACTTGCTGTCGCTGTTCCCTTGTGTATGGTGACATCATGAGCAATCAATGAACCCACCAAAACTTCCTTGACATCTATCTGCTCCAGATCGAGTGCGATCTCAGCATCATTGGTCAGGGCTTGGCACAGATGGCAGTTAGACTTATGGGTCGCCTTTCTGAGCTGAACTACATCATTGGGGACAGCCATGTCCTGTCGCAGGGGGATGTCATTGTAGATCACTTGATATCCTGGTGGCCAGAGAACCAATGTCCTCTCGAATGCTTTCGTTTGTATGACTACTGACGGTTCAGTGATTTTGTGAGTAGCATTATAAATACTATGACATTGACATTGCTAATACTTATTATAGAATGATATCACCCAGCTGATAGCACCAACTCCTTGGACAAATCCTCTTTTTCTCGTCTGTCTTGCAAAATGTCATCATCTTCGAATGGTCGCCATCAACTCACGACTTTTTGCCTATCCCATTCCACCTCTGCCAGCCACCATTTCCGAACTCCCTGCCTTCTTTGCGACAGGTACTTTCAACTACGAAGGTCGAGAGCGCGATCTAGCATGTACATGGTACAATGCTATACCATCATTGCGACGAATCTTCCTATCCTATGCTGGCTGGGATCCACTCGATGTGTGGAGTTCAGATGGAGAGTCTCATGGGAGAGAAGTGTTGGTGCAGCGTACAATTGGTGAGAGGTTTGAAATTATAGAGGCTTTGGACTCTAGCCTGTACAAGGGGCATCAATATGATCCTCATTTCTTTGATGGACAAGATCACACAGAGGTGTATCCCTATCCTTACAATTTGGATTCACAGATGGAATGGTCTAAGGTAAACGTGCTTATAATCAGAAGATAATGTATGCTTGGAGGGTAGATATCGAACATGACTTTTTTCTTCTATCCTTCCTTCCCCTCTCCATTTTTCTCATGTACACAGAGATAAAGAGATAAATTACTACTCGAACATACTGTAGAATTGCAGTTGAATGTACAATATCATTGTTGACGCACATCGTCATGTGTTTAAGGAATTCAGTCGATCAGCACTTATATTTGTTTATTGTCTCTTTCATCATTTACCATGGGCAACTTTGCAACAATGCCACCAGAAATCTTGAAGCACATCACTTCAAGTTCTGAATGTATCAAAGACTGGTCACAGATTGAACACGGTTCAGCTGAACACCACTGGCATCTAGAACTCTGTCGTGTTTGTCGTTCATTCTTTCAAGGCTTTCTTAACCCTTTACCTTTGTCTGCAATCGATGTTCCGAATCTTGGACGTCTTCTCGATCTTTTTCAAACTATCGAGGATTATGAATGACAGCTTTGCAAATGCGCACTCAGCGGAGGACAATTTCAAACTCACTGCAACTTTCTTCGCATTTATCAGTTGGGTGTTCATATGGACGAGTTAGATAACAGTCTGGCTGTCCAACGTAGAGCTCGAGAGATCACTCCCTTTATGGGATACTTCAAAGAGCTCAACATTGCCATCTCCGATATGGCCTGCTCTGCGGTGATCACACGCTTTGCTCAGTGGTGGAATGTAGAAGGATCTGGAATTGAGAAGATCAGACTGATAGATCAGCAGAACTGGGAGTTGGATGAGGAAGAGGCGATGGTGCGTGGTCTTCTCATCTTTGTGGATCTTAGCTGATAAATTCAATAGAATATTGACATTCTGGATACTCATCGACCGTGGCATGATATTGAACAATTCACATTCGAGTTGTCGCTCTTTCCCCAGCTACGCGTTCTTATCATCGACACTCCATTCACCATTCAGCCACTATCGCTTACTCTTCCAAAGTCGGTTCGAGGTATCTAGCGCGCTATCAATCCAGATCGACATGCTGTTGCACAGGAAGAAAGGACAATCACCGACTATTTATTCCAGGAACTTCCACAGCTTCGACATTTACACATTGCTCATTCTGAGCTCAGTATATTTCATAACATCCCGGACCATGAGGGCTTCAATGGCTCTCAATTCACTGGACATCGTACGACCGATGGAATTGTCGAATATGAATGATGTGCAGTTGATGAAGACATTCGAGGTCATCAGATGGATCCAGATGAGCTGACGACTTGAGGTATGCCAGAGTATGAGTGTGACCCAGATGATGATCATTCTCCTGCTGCTTGGCCCTTTATGCAAAGTTTCTTTCCTGGGTTGGACGGATACTTCTATTGACTTACTGAGTTTCTTTCATTTTACAATGTTATCTCTGTCTCTTTTGTCGAATCATGTTGCTTACAATCTGTGATGATTTGTATATACTTGTAGGACAATTAAATAGGCTATACATTACTGAATGATGGTGAGTGAGCTATTCATGACTATGATAACCAAGCTAACAAATGTGAATTCTACTCAGAATTTGTGTCCATATTCTTCTCGCAATTCTCAATGCAAACATTTGATGCCTCCAATCATGGAGTCGTCTTCATGATAGCCTATCTTGCGCTTGACCCTTCGAATTGGCAATACAGGTGTGACCAGCGAGTTCATAATAACCTGGTTGCGATCCTGGAATATACGTACATTAGCATTTAATCTATCTGATCCATTTGATTACCTTCTTACTGACAGCACTTGACGATCCAGAATGCAGATCGATTGTAACTTGCTCAACATGAGCATGCGTCCCTTCGATATTGGCACAGTGCAAAAGGTAACCTGAAGCTCTACGAGTTGACCTTCCTGGATGACTGATGGCTTTATGACAATAATGCTATGCACGACAGTCAGCATTTGTGTTCTTCATTTCAAATATTCACTCATCTTGTCTCTCCTGAAGGCCTGGTGATATGTTCAAAGTATTGAACAACATTGTTTGTAAGATACTTCTCATCTCAAATACGGCTTCTTAGGATGCCAAACGGATCAATGTCATTTCCAATCGGAATCTCGTTGTCGTCCTCCATGTCTCGCATACAAGAAAGGTACCGATTGGAGAACTCTAATACAAGTTCATCATGTTCTCGGATCGGACTCCATGGGATGAGCATGCCTTTATCGAGATGTTGAGCAAACAGCTGATGAATGGCAATAACACCCTTGACCGCTTCTGCAAAGGTCGGAGAACCGAGTCCTGTCAATTTCACAGACTGCGTTGCTCTGAAGAGCTTTGAAGGGAGCCTGATATCTTGTGAGCTGTATTTTTCTACGTGTAGACAATAACACTTACTGGTCATTTCGCACAATTGGTGGCAAGTCCTTTTTGCAAAGAAATCCTTGCATGTGAAGAACTGCATCCTCTGGCTCACTGTCCTCAATACTATTATATGGCCATATCAGATTCAGCTGAGTCTTGCTATCTTCTTGAGTAAAGACTTGTGTTGTCACTCGAGCGTAGTCAGGCTGCAGCTTTGGTGAGCCATTCATTCATCGTTCACTGTATAAACTCTTACCTTGGCCATGTTGATCAATTGATGTGTAGCATTACCACCTTGACTTCGTCCCTCAATAACTTTGGTTAACAACTGCTCTACAAATATGTTGTGAGTTTCACGCAGCAAGTGGAAGCCGTCTAACTTACTATACTTTTCTGCATTGTTTCTCATAAATTCAACAGCCATCTTGAATATACTGTAATGACGGTGCGATGCCAATATTGTTGGATAGATGAAGAGTAAACTAAGAGGTGAATGTTTTCTTTGGTATAATAAATCCAATGCTGCAGTTCAACTTGATATCGTACGATCTAGCTGAGACAATAACAGTCTGGATGGCCTAAAACGTCTGAGGTGCAGTATATTCCCTATCACGTGACAATTCATTCACGCTCCAGAATTTCTTTATATAGTACACGGGCTTCTGTCGCTTTCCTACTGGCCAGTATAATACTTGAAAATAGTGGGACAATCATCCCCAACAGAATTTCCTCCCCAAAGATCTAATGTTTGAGATCATCGTACAATATATTCTATTTACATCAGCCGCATTTGAATTCTATAAAGGCTAATGACCTTATGCTCCCATCGATGTTCAACCTATCCTTCATTTGAACAGGGTATCCTCTTCTCTCTTAACAATGCCTCCTCGCACCAATTCGACTCCTACCAAGTGTGTTCCACTATACTGCTGGTTTTTGTAGCCTCTTGATAGGTTTCATTCTAGGAACCGTGGTCGTACTGCTGGCCGAAAGTCAATCAAGTCTGATAAGATGGTCGCTGACTCTGAGTAAGTGTTTTACTTCATGCCATGATAGCAATATGATTTTATATAAACAGTGTTGAGATGGATGAGACCTCACCTTCAAAGCAGAAGATAACTGCAGTAAAGTACGTGTTTGATTTCAATGTTGTGACATCTCTCTAATACGACTCAGGTCAACTCCCAAAGCTGTAGTGCCTATGCCTCGTAATGTGAAGGCCAAAAACATGGTGGACTATAGTGATGAGGATACAGTAACAAGGTACGTGCAGCTCACATTGTTTTTGATTATATCTTCAGCCGATGATCACAGGGAGAAGGCAATCACTATCCCTCGCAAAGGTGGTAAGGATAAGAAGACCATAGACAACAGCGATGAGGATATGGCAGTGAGGTGCGTGACTCATACAACATGTCTATTCAGAAGCTGACTATCTGTGTCAGTTCTCCTCATAAAGCTGGTAAGTATCAGAAGGTTGTCGAGAGCAGCGATGATGATGAAACCAATCTGTACATCTTTCTGATACTGCTGACTAGTTTAATCCTCTGATTTATCCAAGTGCTTCATGTGTGTCCGGTCGTACCGCTGCCAAGATGGCTAAGTAAGTATTTTGTTACTGAGTCTTAAGTCGCTGTTTATAATGTGTGTAGTGCTAAGCTGAAGGACGTATTCATGGACAATGACTCCGATGTCGAGCAGTCTTTGGAGAGGTATGCTATAGTCTTTTGTCTTTTTATTCTTCAAGTCTGAGTGTCTTGTAGTGATGCGGCTCTACCAATCAATGAACCCGAAATCACGGAAACTCCCAAGAAGAAGGCGAATAAGGCATTTGTTCTTTTGCCGACTCCCATTAGTCCTTCGCCCAAGTTTGTAGTTCAATTTATACTATTTTCAGACTCACTCATACATATGTTACTACAGCAAAGGAAAGGCGACTCGTACACCCACCAAGCGAGTTTATATCAGTGATTCTGACAAGGATGCAGAGCCGGAACAGTATGTAACTTCAGTTTGACTATCGTCTCATATTTTTATACTATTTTATTCAGATCTTCTCCTATGAAGAAAGGTCGTAACAGGCAAAGTAGGCCTGACTCTGAAGCAGAAGCATCGACAGAGCAATCCAAGCTTAATCATTATGATGTTATGATGTATGTTGTTTTCTTATCTCACTTCCCTATACTTTAAACTCACTTTCTTACATAGCCTACTGCACCTTGCCATGACAAAGATGTTGGAGCAGGAGAGACAAGATTTTTCCTTGCAAGTAAAGCAATACGATCCTAGAGACCGCGAGTATGTTAATAGCACAGGTATCTAACTGTCTATTGATTTTATTGAATAGCATCCGCTTGTCTCTAACCAAATCCGCCAGTGGATCTAAAGGTAAGACGGAGGATGTTCTGTAAATATGTTTGATTATATTGTTATATGATACATTCTAAAACCTATCTGTACCACAGCATTCACCAGCCTTCACGCTCGGATGTGAATATTTTCTGGTATATTCATTGATTCTAATATCCACCTTAGTAAAGCAATCATGAAGGATGGAAAGATGGAGATCAATGTAAGTGTCATTGTTTGTTCCGATGCATTTCTAAGAATAACCATATTTGTTTTAACTTTTAGAATGAGTACATACATTCTACACACCTCTGTGCTTTAACTTATACTGTTTCCAGAGATACTGACAAAGGAGAGGAAAATTTTGAGTGTCAGGTCACATCCATAACCTTGATAGATCCGATTCTTCTCAAGGCTGATGCCTACAAGACTTTGCCTCCCTTTCGACGGTTCGTCTAAGTTATATTTTACTCTTGTTTTACATTTTCTCACTCATAATATGCAGCACCTACTATGCAATCACGTATCAGCCTATCAATACACTGACATTCACTGGTGTGCTGGACGGATTTATGGGATATCAGGTGAATAAGCCATAATTCACTACTTCACTTTGCAGCAGATGCAATTTGTCTAATATTACATCGTAGTGCATTGATCAAGGCTCTCACCTTCGCTTTCAGCGATGGTCTGTTTGTCAATCCTGCACGCACAAATATAAAGAACTATCAGATGACAGGTTCTTTGGAAAGCCGGCTGGGGGCTCGTCAGCTGGCCATTACCTTTGGTGCTGTAATGTTCAGCGCTGTCGCTGCCTCTCGTATAATACATTCTATGTCAAAGTGGACAAAAGATATCAACATTGCGCCGATGAGCCTAGAATGGGAGCGGACTGTTGCATTCTTTGGCTCATTCATTGGTGACAACTACGGTCTTTACACCTATCAGAACAGCATCACCATGTCCACCAGACCATCTACATTGGAGCATCCTGACTATGCGGGCAATTGTACGTCCGATATTCTGTTTTATATCTTCTTTCACTTTGCTTATTCTTTTTTTAGCTGGCAGTACATCACTTAACAAGATGCTTAGCAAGGCTTCTCCGAGCAAGGCCGTCGCAGGCAGGCATGGTGGCCCTTCTACCAGTGTTGATGGAAAGCGTGCAGCTAGCTTCATCTTACCGCAGGGAAAAGTTCTCAGCACACTTGATCATTGGGATGATGGTATATCTGTTCTACAATATTCTCTGATCGTAACACTGATACGTCTGAGTCTTAGTTGTTGTATATGACTGCACCGCATTCTTCCAGGGCATTGAGAGTCGCAACGTGGCCAAAAAATATGACATAATGAACACAACAGAGCACGTGATCAGACTACAGCATTCACGTAACAAACTTTCAAGTCAGAGGTCTCAATATTTCTTATGCATATCAACAAACTACGATGCAAAGTATGCTCATAATATTCAAGATGCAAGCATCAGACAATTGTAATGACCAGGTATTCGAGAAGACAGCGCTGTGCAATTAATCCTCCTTCAACAAGATACAAACTGCCATCAGATTGAGCGACACCGAGTCTGTCCCCAGCTTGGTTTTATACTGGCCAGGGCTGTACAGGACAGCAACAAAAGAACCAAGAGGAACCTCATTATTCCAACGTGGGCAGGTGTCGCGCACTGAATTGAAAGAGAACTCGTTATCTCGCTTGCGCAACATCTCTTGTATCAACCACCACCATGCTTGCCTATCGAATTTGTCTGAGGTTGCTAATAGCAGCCTTTTTGTGCTTTCAGCTCATGCTAGCTGGCCTTCTTGTGTCACAGTTAACTATAAACTGTGATTCTAATGTAAGCAAACTATATTGTTGGCGATTAAGAACTGTGATACCTGAGAAAATTATGTTGATTGAAGAAGATACGTCTTTTGAGCATGTTGCTAGGGTGCTGGCAGACACACTCTCAGAAATTTCTGTGCGGCTAGACCGCAGGGTGCAGGCAGACACCCTCCCGAAAAGATCTGTGCGGCTTGACCGCAGGGTACAGGCAGACACCCTCTCGAAATGATCTGTGCGGTTTGACTGCAGGGTACAGGCAGATGACACCCTCTCGAAACGATCTGTGCGGTTTGACCGCAGGGTACAGGCAGACACCCTCTCAAAAAGATCTGTGCAGCTAGACTGCAGGGTACAGGCAGACACCCTCTCGAAAAGGTCTATGCAGCTAAACTATAAAATATTGACCGACACATGCTGGAAAAAAAAATATATTCATAAAGGGCCTTCGATCATACATTTGTCATATGCAATTGCACATATTCTATTTTACAGACCGATTTCATACTTGCAGCTTACTCGTCTGATGCTAATTCGGGCATTCTTTCATAGATATGACTTCTATGTGCTGCTACGAGCTTACACTAACTCTATACAGCCAAAGTCACCGTCTCAACCAAAGTTCTTATATTTCAAAACTCAGATTACTATTAATAATAAAGTACGTGGTAGAGGTATTGCTCCTAAAAAACCTCGCACCTGGTCTGCTGCCGAGCTTCATGCATATAATGCAATGTCATATGATATTGATGATCAATACAAATTCTGGGATTACTCACTGAAAAACACCACAAAGATATCTCAATTCCATCCAGATATCATTCAGGTGGATATACCACTTTCTATACTATCACAAAGACTACCAGCGCATACTCTACGTACAATTGGACAGTTACATGGCCTTAGTATAAGTGGCAAAAGGCTTACAAGAGACAATCTTGAATCAATTCTGTCTAAGCATGTTTGTACTACGTGTCCTGACTTTGTTACTCATTTTCAGAAAGTGCAACCAATTCAGAACAATGCTCAGCGTAGTGAGACTTATCGTAAGTCAGGTAAAAAGATTACAGAAAAGAAAACAAAGCCTAAAACAAGTGAGACTATTCATACAACTGCTTTTCCACCTGCTCCACCTCCAATACCATTGATACATGAGACAATTAATGGATTTTGTACCGATACTGACCCATCTCAATTTATAGAAATGGCCTGCACTGTTTGCGCATTGCTAAAGCCTGTCACAGAGCTCACAAGTCTGACTGAAGTGCGAGCAAACCTCTCATTGCTGTGCACATCTGACTTTATTCAAACTAGAAAAGAATGTTTTACAGAACAAGATCCTATACAAGAACTTTCTGGCCCAGTAGTTTTACCAAGTTGTGACAACATATGCACTTACTGTCTTTCATATTTGCAGCAAGGTAAAGTGCCTACAGATGCCCTTGCAAATGGACTTCGGATTGGTGCAATTCCACCGCAATTACAGGATCTCACTTGGACGGAGAAAATGCTCATTGTACGTGTAAAACATAATCACTGTATTGTACGAGTAGCATCATCTCGAATGCATAAGATGAAGGCCAATGCAGTATGTCATTCTGTTCCTATGCCAAAAATCTATGCAGCATTACCACCTAATCGTGAGGAACTGGATGAAGTCCTTGCATTTCTCTATATTGGACCATCAAAGCCTACCCCTAAGGAGTATGCTCGTACCCCTTTTCTTGTTCATTGCAACAAAGTGGTGCAAGCCCTAGAATGGCTTAAACTCAACCATATTGACTATGCTGACCTTGAGATCTCTTATTCAAATCTACAGACCTATCTAGAAGATGTTCCTCCAGTAATTGTCAATTATCACCAATCTTATGATGGTACCAAAGTTGCAGAGGCTACCGCAGTGCATGATACTGCAGAAGATGATGGCACAACAGAAGGCCAGTGTCCATTTACTGTGCATGGCTTGACAGGCACTTCTATGGTAAATATGATGACTATGAAGCCACTAGAGATCCGTGCACGAGCCATACAACACTTTAAAGAAGGCAAGGTACTTGGTATCGGTCAGGATAGTCAACCGCAAAGTCTATATCATAATCCTCAGTTGAACACACAGATGTTTCCATGGCTATTCCCATATGGCTTTGGTGGAATGGAGAATGTTCGAGGCATGGAGTCCATATCAGAGACCAAGCGTAAGCAGCAACTGCTGATGTACCATGACAAGCGATTTCAGACTGAACTGCTGTTTCCACTCGTTGCATTTAATCAAGAACAGATTAAAAATACGACTACAGCAGGTTATCTTCTTGCAGATAAGCAGAAATTTACAGATATTACTAACCATCTACTTAATCTTACTGATAGTACTCTCGCTGATCTTATCAAATGACTCTCCGCTGGACATGTCAAGCCTGAGACAGAGGAAGAGAAAGCTTGTTTCAAGATTATTAATGACTTAGATCATGTTGGTTACAAAGTCCAAGGCTCCATGACCAATCAAAAGACCATGCAGAATGAGATTTGGGCACTCACCAGCTACCTTGGTGCGTCATCATGGTTTATTACATTTGCACCAGCAGATCTTAATCACCCAATTGCCTTGTACTTTGCTGATACTCAACAGACCTTCTTACCAGACTTTAGAAAGTATGATGAACGTTATCGACTAATTGCAAATAATCCAGTTGCTGGTGCAAGATTTTTCAAAATGATGGTTCAGCTTTTTCTAAAGCATGTACTTGGAGTTGGACTTGATCGACCTGGAATATATGGTGAGACTGCAGGCTACTATGGCACAGTTGAACAGCAGGGTCGGCTGACCCTTCATATGCATATGATGATTTGAATCATGAATGCGCTTACTCCACAAGAGATACGGGACAGAATTATGGATCCCAATTCAGATTTTCAACGCAAAATGGTAGAATATTTGGAGGGTGTTCACATTGGAGAATTTATGAATGGTACCATGGAAGATGTACGTCAACGACTCGATAAGTTGAATGAAGAGAATCCTGATCGTATTCCTCCTACTGAGACATTGCCAGATGCACCACCACCTTTATGTGAGTGTGGTAACTCTGAAGACTGTTCAGAGTGTAAATTATCTCAATCGTGGTGGGAGAAATTCACACACACTGTAGATGAACTCCTGTATCGTTCTAACCGCCATACATGTCATAAAGGATGTCTGAATCCAGAGTATGGCTGTAAGGCCAGATTTCCACGTGAATTATTCAAAGAGACCACCGTTGATCCTGAGCGAAAAGGTGAAGCCTGGATCAATACTGTTACACCAACACTCACCTATCTTTTGTGATGCAATACTGATGTAACCACTTTAGGGTACCCTTTATCCCTAGCTCTTAGCAACAAGATCTTCTATAGTATGTCATAGCTAAGAGCTTCTTAAGTGTCAGACTGACCATGATACCTATTATGTCCCAGGGCATTCTGTGGCATTGCCCAGGGCATAGATAGGGTAGTGGCTGGGCATATGGGATGATTATTATGTGGGATATCCTACTAGGCTAGGACATTAATTGTTTATCCCAGTATTACTGGTTGTCTCATGGTGTCAGGGGTACATAAGGATGTCCCACTGTTAGCAGAAGATGTATTTTTAAGCTGTTGTATATTTGTTGTTTCATATTTTCATCTACTGCCATACTGTATAAACCTTAATTACATAGTACAATAAACCAGTGCTTTATTGATACTTCAAATGAGATGGGAGATCCACAAATAGTGGGATATCCCATACTAAGTTTTATATTCACCTGCAGTGTTATAATACTAATTACTATTAGTGGTATGTATAACATGTTCATTAGATCAAATAACAACTATAACAGGCCAAACAACAGTTCTTATTCTCGTGTTTCAAAAGTAATTGTATCTTTTCTGATGCAATGTTCAAATTGACGTGATGTCACCTTTAGTATATTGCATCCAACCTGAATATTCTATAACTTTCATTAATAACCAGAAGAAACACAGTAACTCAGTCTACTTATACACTAGCAAATAAGAGACACCTTAGTTAAGTCTGCTACTATAGAATGTACCTGAATAAAGCAAGGAAGACATTTGATCTAAGATTGCAGTAAAGTTGCATTCACAAACACATACCCAATGACTTCTTATACTCTGGGACATTATGCTATAGGATGGGATATCCCATTTAAGAACCTGTTACTCTCCAATCTTAATAATACAATGAATAGTATAGGTCTTTAGTTAATTATAGTAGTCTAACAGATATATTCAGACAAATAATAGTCTGAATAGCTGTCAGCATACAAATAAATCACATTTTAGGATGTCCTTAAAATGGGATGTCCTTTAAAATGGGATATCCTTAAAATGGAATGTCCCATTTTTA